AAACTAAACTACAACAAAATAAAATAAAATAAATATAAAATAATGTAGATAAGTGAATACATAAAACAAAATATAAATAAATAATAAGTAAATAAATACAATAAATACAAGAAAATAACAAGAAAAATAAAATAAAATAAAATAAAATAAAATAAAATAAAATAAAATAAAATAAAATAAAATAAAATAAAACAAAATAAAACAAAATAAAACAAAATAAAATAAAGGTGCATTTGGCAGTGGAGACACACGTCTGATAAAGGTGACCTGTATCGAACCGTACTAAACGTTACCATTCAATTGAAAAGAAGCATTAAAGTCTGAAAGTCCCAGCAGGACAGAACTAAGAAGAAAGAGTCAGAATAAAACAAAAGCTCTAATCATCAGCTCTTGAAAAGGGGTTATAAAAGAAAGGTGAAGCTTTTTGTCTTTCTGAATGGAAAGATTAGAAACAGTAAAGAGTCTCTGGTCTCATTTCCGTCTGGACGGGATGTGAGTAATGTCTTCATTGTTCAGACCAGAACAAGTGCAGGACAAAGACAAATCTAAGTGGCACGTTTCCCAGAAGTCCCGCACACTTATTTAAACTTAAAGTTATTGGAGAGTTAAGCCGAGGCAAGAAAATAAATCTTCTTAATTTGACACAAACACAACTTTTCCAGAACATTAAATGCGGATTGCTTTATAAAACGCCTCTAAGTTTGAAATGAGAAACCCTGCTCATGTGTAACAAATAATGAAAATATAATCACAAATAAAATGCGGCTCTCCTTTGCTGTTTCTTTTATTACTGACATCATGTTTGGTTTATACACAATATAAAGTTAAGCAAAAACTTAAAGAACTTAAAGAACAAGACGCAAATTTTAAATTAAAAATAAATATGAAAATATATAAAAGTGTAATAAATTATGAATAAAATGTATATATTCTGATATATTTATAAAATATTTAATAACTATTTTATTTATTTATTTACAGTAAAGGACAGCTGTATAAATATATATAAATATATATATATATATATATATATATATATATATATATATATATATATATATATATATATATATATATATATATATATATATATATATATATATATATATATATATATATATATATATATATATATATATAAAAAATATAATAAAATATATATTTTTTATACATATTTTTATACACATATATATATATATATATATATTTATATATATATATATGCGTCTTTTTCTATATGTTCTTTATGTTTTTGCTTATCTTTATATTGTGTATAAACCAAACATGGG